TCAGTTATGGTTAGTGGAATGGAGGGGGCTGCGTGTGTGTCTAGATATATAAGTTGCTATAACCCAGGCGCTGACTGTGTTACTCTGGCTCTCTCTCTATAGAAGATGGCAGCAGGAGTGAAGCAGCATGCTGTGTGCATTTTTGGCAGAAAGGGTGAGCAAGAATGTGTCATTCAGGGGCATGACACAGTCACATCATCCTCCTTAGACGAAGTCGGAATGGAAGGAGAAAAAAATGTCCGCTTTAACTTACTTATGTCAAGAAACACTAGAGACAAAATGGCAAGGGCTACAACAATAAAGTGAACACCCTAATCCTCTTGTGTTAGTAAGCGCCAAGAACCAGTGTAAATACACAGGGGAAACCCTGTCTTACCTTAACCAAGACACTGAACCTACTAGAGATCCAGCCTTCCCTCGTCATGGTGGGCATACCCCCAATGGAAACTACAGAAATGGATCATGACCATGGACCTATTTTAGTACCTTGTGGCTTTACAAGTTTCACTACATGCAAAGGAGAGTGCTTACTGCAGGATCCAGTTTGCACAAAGCAAACACTTCAGACCAGCCCCACACAATGGGGTCTGGGTATGATCTTCAAGATACAACCCAGAGTAATGGATCTGGAGACTGCCAGAAGCCCAGGGCAATAAGCAGTCAGATCTTGACAGAATCTTCAGAGAAAAAACTGAATGTTTAGAAGAAGAAAAAAAAAAAATCTTCAGGAGGAGAACAGGTTCATCACTTAAGGACACTAACAAAAAAAAAAAAAAATTTATCAGTCTCATAAGTGATCGGGGTTATATGGTGTGCTTTAGGTGCTGTCAATCACCTGAGGGTAGCTGCATATAGGTCTAAGGCAAGCCATAGGGGGGAGGAGAGACAGTGATTACTGCTAGGAGCTATAACAGCCGCTAGCAATAATCACAAGTGAATCAATCAACTTGGTACATTCAGCCTGCCCCCACACGGTTCGAATCTTGGCCAGTTCCTGCTGAATAGGATGGGATTTGAACAGTCTATGGCTGGAATGAGAATACAATCCTGTGTCCTGTACTGTAAGATTAAGATAAGAGCAATACCAATTGTATTATCTAAGAACTTAGGATAAGGGCAAGGTTAAAGTTCAACTGAACTTTCAGTTTAAATCAGTAAATACATTCTAGGTTCAAGAAACAAAACATGTACACAGTCTTGGTGAATCTTGCTCAGCAAACCTTATCTTCCCTGCTGACTGCAGAGGTCACACATGGATCGAAATTCGGCTGGTCCCTGCAGAACCATCTGAATTTCGCTCCTTTTTTTGGCCACCTTAAGTCTTTGCAAACATTTTGTTTTGATACACAAGGAGTGTACTGTACTTAGCTGAGATAGTTCAGCTGGTCTAATTATAAACTTGCCAATTGTTGCAACCGAGAAGTAAAGTGCAACAAAGTTCATTTGTGAGGGCTATGTTGTGTTGTAGGTTAATGGCAGAGCAGGAAGTATTATATGTTATATATGTAATATATGTATTATTTAGTTTGTCTGCAAAGAAGTCCACTACAGCGTTTTAAGAAGCTTTCACCCATACTACTTCGACAGAATTTGTCCACCGAAGAAAAGGAGGGACAGTGATACCACTGTTCATGAACAAAGTAGTTGGAAAGAATTAACATTCCTCCTGTCCCCAAATTATTGTGCTCCTAAAGAATATTAAAAATCTGCAGCATCCAAAATTTCTAACCAAACTACTATGCTTTATAAATTCTGGATTAACATATGGGCGTGCTATGTATATGGTTTTAATTGGACTCTTTGCTAGTGAAGCAGATCTCTTTTTGAAATCCAGACTATAATTAGTTTGTGCTTTCTTTTAATTCTCCTCTAATGTGATCTTGTAGAGCAGATATGACAAATCAGTATTTAGTGATTAAGCTATTGCTTGTGTTGTCATCTGATAATACTTGCAAACCAGGGGCTTTGAGTGAACATACAGATGGGTAGACTGAACTTTTATTAAATCTGGATCCTATTTTAGAATAAAGTGTTACTAAACCCTGCATGCACTACTTCTTGTCTCCCACAGTACACAGAACATGGAAACACAAATATTTTAGTAAATCTAAACTACGAAAAAAATTTCTCATCAGCTGTATAAAGTAATCTTGTGACTTCTATCGGTGTCTAGCCGAGCACTGGTTAATCTTGTAAGGGGAATTTTCATACTGCTCTGACTGTCCTATGAGACTGCATAACCCCTGACCCTCTGTCTGGACAGCGCTGATTGGCCCTGTGCTGATCACAAGCACTTTTAAGAACAAAAAAAAAAAAAAAAAAAAAAAAAAAAAACCCTCTCTAGCAATGCACGCCAAGTATGTGCAGAGTGACTCCTAGAGCTCTGTACTATGGGAAATGGATTGGGAACAGTAGAAGGGGAGGATCAGAGAAGACAGGATCAAACAGCCATTTTACACAGGGAGGAGGATTAACTCCTTAGGTTCCAGAGCGAGTAGAACAAGCATGCTTTACTGCATATACAGACTTATTTTACGGTTGTGGGTTTAGTAATAGTTTATGGGCTTTTGTTTTTTCCTCTTTGGAACTTACACTTTCACTTGTGATTTATTCTTGAAATCTATTCTGTTCAGATCCAAAAAAGTATTTCCAGGTCTTCGTAAAGGATCAATGTCCAACAAGTTTGCAATTTTCCTGCTTTTACTGTTCTTACTTCATCTACCAAATCAGTATAAAGTGTTTTATAGGGCATTCTCTGTCTACAGAAAACTGGATTTCTTTGGATTAGCGAACCAAACAAATATTCAGCCTAATTTTGTTTAACTGCTTTATCAATGCACATCATATAAAGCAACTTGTGTACCCATACCACTTTGGACAAAGGCCAAGGCTTTCAGTAAAGGATTCTTTAGGATTCGTTTAACCGAGTTTGACTGAGTCATATGGGAACACAGAAGACCAAAATAACCTGCACTGAAACTGGTATATACTGTAGGCTACCAATGCTGAAAATGCTTGCTGCCTGGCTGTCTTTGGCTTCAGTATGATCTAAGTCACCGACCTTCAAATGTGAATAAAGTGAGGTCAGAACTATGATCTACATAATAGTTCCAGAGTAGTAGTAGTTTTGAAAGTAATAAAAATATTGGTACAGCGTGACAGCAGAAAGCTGCACAATTTGCATTTTCTGAAACTGTTAAATAGCATTTTTCATATTACTCTCATTACAGGTTTCCATTAAATACTTGTTGTGCATTAATTTTAACTCCTGATAAATAAAAATATATCGATCTATGATCACACATGTCTTACTACTAGGATTTGACAGAGAAAAATAGATCTAGAGTCTAGAAGAAAACCAATGAGCTATAAACATAAAACATTCAGAAGTCTTGCGGAGAGTTTTTACATTGTCTACCATCAGACATCAAAGTAGTCTGGGCTCTGTGACTGCCACACACACACACACACACACACACACACACACAACACACAGGTTGGACAACAATATGGAAACACTACATGATTTGCAGGTGTGAAAAGTGACAGCATGTTTCGTGTTGTAAGCGAAAGTGCGGTCACATTCCTTTGCTTCGTCTCTGTGATGAGATACCTACCTAACCGGTGGGAAGCCTCACTTTCGGTATTCACTGCGTACTCTGCTAGTAGTGCGGAGTCATGTCAGAGCTTACTGAGCTTCATAGAGGGCAAATTGTTGGTACCTACTTAGCTGGTGCCTCGGTGACTGAAGTTGCCAACTTATTTGCCGCGTCACAAGGTACAGTATCAAAGGTTATGGCGGCATATACAGTTTCCGGGAAAATGTCACCTAATAAGCATTAGAGCAGTTGACGCGGTCAATTGACCGAAAGAGACAAATAGAAGATTACACAGGATTGTGACCAGGATTTTTGTATGAAGAGTGGTAATAGATTCCATTATCCACCATCCAAGACTTATATTTCTCAATTCCTAGGTAATGGTTTTCTTCCTTTACCATACTTGTTTCAATAATTTTGTCCAGCCCATATATATATATATATATAGGCACGTATATATTTTATATATATATATATATTATATTTTTTATATATTATATATAATATATATATATATATATATAGAAATAGGCACGTGATTTGGTTTACTAAAGGAGTAGAGATACTGGGGTTAATTTATTAAAGGCGTAGAATGCATTAAAGTGATAAAGTTTTTTTTTTTTCCTTAAAAATACTTACCTGCTCTGTGCAGTGGATTTGCATGGAGCAGCCCAGACCCTGCTCTTCTCGGGTTCCCCGCCAGTGCTCCTGGACCCTCCCTCCTGTCGGGTGCCCCCACAGCAAACAGCTTGCTATGGTGGCACCCGAGTAGGTACACTCCCGGGCTGCGGCTCTGCATGTCCATTCACACACAGAGCTGTGGTTCAGCCCCACCCCCTCCCTCTCCTGATTGGCCAATGGCTCCCGCTGCTGCCTCAGCCAATCTGGAGTGAGTCCCCAGAGAACAGAGGCTGTACAGAATCAAGAGGGGGCTCAGGTAAGTGTTGGGGGGGAGGCTGGGGGGGTTGCTGCACAAAATGTATGACTGCAAAAAAACTTTGCAAAGTTAACAAGGTGAAGCATAGTGAAAATTAACTTTGCAAAAAATACCCATTCGTATGCATGTGGAAAAGACCTACAGGAAAGTCCACACATTCAGGCCAAGTAGGACTGCTATGTTGAGGGATTTAAATTAAGGAACAAAAACATTTTAAGATGCATACTGCACCACAGAGGTTTGAAGACTCCTTTAACTAGGCCATCTTACATTTCAGTGTTGCCATCAGAGGTCACAGAAACGAAAATAAACCTTTTTAGCATAGTTTCACATTTCTACAATTAAGTGGTATTATAAGGATTCACAGGATATTTTGCCAGTAATTCAGAGTTAATGCAATGATGGCATCCATTTTACTGTTCGACACAAACAAGATGATTAAGGTTTAGCCTCACATTGTTTTCTTACCCATCATTCCACTGCTCTGTTGCAGCCTCTTCTGCCACTAAGATAGCATACTCTTCTGCAGCATACTTTTCCCAGTCTGTAAGTTCTTGTCCTTCGGTTTCAACCTATAGGAGGTATACATTCAGTGAACTAAGATTTATCTGAAGATAAGCAATAGAAGGTTTACCACCTATAATACAAGCCACCTACCCGTACTGTAGAAAAAGGTTCTTTCTGCTCATGGTCTAAATATTTGTCTAGGTTCAGAAAGGTGTCAAAGAACAGATTTGACTGCTTGCATTTCTTCAGGTCATGGAGAGTGATTTTACCTGTTAAAAATAACAAAATCTAACTTTCTAAATGTTCATAAAATGAATGGAATGTTACCGTTAACATAAAAGAAATATACCTTCACATTGTGGTTTGACAAGATCCAACATCTGACACAGGCAGTCCTCAAATGATAATGGCTCAATGGCCATACTTTCCATTTTTTGACACTGTTCCTCGTAGAAATACTCCAGCTCATACATTGATAACACACCATCGCCATCCAAGTCCATGCAGCGAAACCAGTACTCCATACTGAAAGAGGACAGATAAAACTTTAGCCAACATTAAAAGTAGAAGTACAGGGAAAACTTTTTAATTTTCATTTTGGATAGCGTAAGGGTGTGTTATAGCCCCATAACCCTATCAATTTATTTTTTCCCATTTGTGTCTCATTGGAGAGATGTACCTTCTCTTTCTGTCCCACAGCCAAAACAGGAAGTGATAGAAAATTCCTGCAAATTAAGGAAATTTCTTGGGGATCCCCAGGTCACCAGAACTAGTGTCCCCATTGAAAAATGTCACCTCTATTACTTTCCTGGGAACAACCCAAAATTTGGTGTTTTTCACTTTCTGTGCTAATGGTAAACAGCAAAAATAGAGAGGGTGAATCTCCCCAATGGGGACACAGACAGCAATAAAAACCCTATAGCCTTTTATAAGTAAAACAAATCACATATATATCCTGGATCCAGGTTTCCACAAAAAAAAATGCTTCTTCCCTCTCAAAAATCTACACTATTACTTTTAATACAGCACAGTATTGTTATTGTGGCACCTATGGTACTATAGTATCAAAGTGATTGCTTGAGGAAAAAATAGTCAATACTTGACACAGTTGGATCCATGTATGGTGTGTTTTATGATATGCGGTTTACTAATGTGAGACTGGCTGCACCCTACATACCTACTGCTGGTAGCACAACGTTGCTCCATACCTATTTGCACAAATCCGTCACATTTTTTTTTTCTTTTTGTAGAATGTAAATTGTCACAGTTCCACTTATGGTATTTGGTACAACTTGTATCATTTACTTGCCATTTATTTCTATAGTAGACTGCTTGGATACTTGTTCATGCACTTGGCTTGTGATATGACCCATTATATATAACTTAGCAAAAGTTTTGTAAATAAAAGAAACAAAAATCCATATATTGTAGTACAGATTCCAAGATGGTAAACAAATGGCATTATCAATCTAGTTTTACCAAAAGGCTGTAAAAAAAACCCCCAAAAACAAAACAAAAAAAAAAAAAAAAAACACCAAAATGTGCAATTTTTTTTTTTTTTTTTTTTTTGAAGGTGCCTTTATATTACATGTATGACATGGCAATGCAACCCTTACATATCCATTATTTGCTACAGGGCGCCCATGAAAGGTGTTAATACAACAAACAGAGCAACTATAGTAAAATGCCTGCAGCCTGAAATGAACTAGGAAGTGGGTAGGCTAATGATGGTTGAATCCTGATTGGTTGCCTTGCCCACAGCATACTACTGTTGCTTGTGCTCTGCACCTGAATCAAGTACCTATTTTTCCAATTCTCTCTTGTATTTGAATTAAAGGATAGGTTCACCTTTTGAAAAAAAAAATAAAAAAATAAAAGCACATTTTTGGAGGTAAAAAAAATGTGCATTTGTTATTTTTTTTTCTAAAGAGCCTGCAGAGCATTGCACCTACAATCTGCTGATTGTGGGTGCAATCTTAGGCTCCAGTAGACTCCGCGTAGATGTCTGCCCATACCTCATATGGGCAGACAGTTACCGAACAGCAGGAAGATCAATGGATTATGAGAGCGCTCACAAGCGCCCTCGTAGGTCATTGAGAGCTACAATTTGTCAGCTGCAATGCAAGGAAACTGAATGAATGATGCGGCTATGTGGGCTGTTGTGACAGCGGGTGTGAGGAGAAAATCCTAAAAATAGTTTGAACATAAAAACATGTTTGCAAGGTGAACTTATCCCTTTAACACCATAACAGAGTTAGAAGTAGGGTGGGGGAACTAAAAGCTACTCTAGTAATTACCTGGTTTGTGTTTTCTTGTCTTCTTCAGATAAAAGAAACCATACAAAGTCTGCATAGCTAATCTTCCCCTCCTTTTGTGCTTTTCGACCTCTGGGAGGAAAAAACATTTAGCCATAAGGAACATTTCCACTGTCTTATCTGCCTACTGTAGTGGTATTTGCGATCACTTCACATAAATCCATAGGACACATGCCTACATTATTACACTGAGTCAAAAAGTACTTCTTGCTTACCATTAATAAAAAAAAAAAAAAAAACACAAAACAAAAAAAAAAAAAACAAACACAAAACACACACAGATCCTTTATGTGACCTCAACACTAGGAAAAGATCACATGGTCAGTGCCTATTATGTTCACATGTTACTATCTGACCATACAATCTTTATACAAAGAACCTCAAAGTCATCATACAGGTTACAATTGTTGTGCAATCAACTTTAGATATACCAAAACTATGTGAAATGAACACTTATCTAAATAAACCAATCATTCTGTGTCCAATCAGGCAGGCCCTACACTATAGATAATGTGTGTGGTGAGCTTTAGGTTTACAAAAAAATTAAATGAGAAGCTACAAAACTATCCAATGAATTTGTATGCAACCAAACCCTTACATTAGATAATTGTTGGTAGAGCTAAAAGGAGACTGTACAAAATCAGATTGTTATGTCTATGGTGAGCTTTAAAAGCATACCCAACAGCAAATATATTGCAGCTTAGCAATTCTTTGATGTGATGGCCGTATTCGTTTTCTTTTTAAAGCTGAAATCTATTTTTATCTGGTGGTGTGGCCAGTAAGTCTGTGTTTTTCAAAAGAAAAAGCTCACTTGCAAGATGTATCAGTTAGAGGGTTGAGACAACCCATTTAACACTGGCAGGGGTATTTATAATAAACAACTTTTATGTAAAACCTTTATCCCAAAAGGAAACAATTGTTTATAAACTGATTATAAAGTATTAGCTGAAGTTTGGCTTCAGTTTGTTAGTGTAGTTAAATCTGCTAGTACATGTAACCCCACCCTCCGACTGACAATGCTGCCGCCCAAAGGTGCCCCTGTACTCGTTCATCCAGAGTGGAGGCACTCTAACATAGGTGTGTTACTAGCCAAGTCACCAGATGAAAGCAGAGGGTAAAAAAGCCTAAGAAAAGAAAACTAATGAAGCCACCACATCTAATGATTGGCAAACTGCAATATATTTTATTTTTGGCTTTGGTTTAATACTGCTTTTAATATTTTGTCCAGACCTGTCCCTTGAATGGAATCCCAGGTGTATTAAATAGGTTTCTTTTACAATATGCACAATTTTACTCAAACAAAACCACAAATCACAGTTAGAAATTTGTTCAAGAACAATTTTCTCATCATTAATTTTTCAAAAACAAATATTGATTTGATCCAATGATTAGAAACATCAAACGTTGCAAAATATACACATTTTTGGACAAAAATCTACTGGTGTATGGCCAGATTTTGATAGACACTGTCTGGCAGAATTGCAATGAGAAGAAAGGAGAATGGAAAGAGCAGATATGTCTGTTATTTGTATGCATAGTTAGAAACTATACACAGAGATAAGGTACTTGAAACTTTACAGATACAGTTACTCTAGACAGGTGTAAATGGCTGCCTAAGTGGTAATCTAAAGCTGGCCATACAAGGATTGAAATTCGTCCAGTTCAGCAGGGACCTACTGAATTTTGATCTACGTATGGGCAGACCGTGTGTACAGAAATCGTTCTACTGATCAACTTTTATACAACCAAATGGATTTTCCCAGCCACCAGCTATAGTCCGCAATGCTGATCAGTGTATTCTGATGGCGGGGAAGTCTCCCCACTGTCAGTATACAATAGCTCAATGGGGAGGATTCCCCCATCCACATCAAATGTGTGGATGGGGAAATTCAGTAATTTTTTTCATTTAACCTGCTAGGTGGAAAAAAAAAAAAAAAAAAAAAAAAAGGCTTTATGGGCTGCTTAAGGCTCGTCTGCATCAGGCTACACTTGCACTAGGATGTTGTTATAACAGTCCTTACCAAATTTTATAAACCAAAGGTTGTCATTCAGACAGAATTTCTTTACCCAGCTAGAATATGAATGCCAACGGAACACAAATGTTCTATTTACCGTGTTACTGCTCCCGAGAATATTCTTTCAATAATTCTGCTAGATATGGCTGTAAGGAAATGAAAAGGAATACATTAGTACGTTTTTCTTTAAATATGTTTGTATCTGGAAAAAAAAAAAAAAAAAAAAAAAAAAAAAAATCTAAAATGCCTCTTCACATAGGATGTGCTTAAAAGGAAGAAAGGAACAAAGTGTACTGTATGCCAATGAATAACACACAAGTCAATACTAATACCAAAGCAATTAAATATAGTAGGTGCTGAGAACATGAGCCACACGCCTTGAAGCTTTCAGTAACAAGAATACCTCATAACTGAAAACACAAAATGGAACACGTGTAGTATTGTTTAACCAATTTTAATTTATACTCCATGGTAGCAGCAAAAAATGTCACCAACAAAACATGGCAGTAATAAGACTCCACATTTATCAATGTGTACCAAGAACTGGATGTTGTCCACAGGCATTAAGTAGATTCCTACTGGAAAGGAAGTTTCTGATTGGTGGCCATGTTGAACACAGACAATTCTTATTTAGAACACACTGATAAAGGAGGAATGTGCAGTTGCTTGTGTTTATTTTAGCTTGATAGATGTGAATGTTCTATGGTGTTCTGGATACTGAAAAGAAATGACACAAATAAGTTTACATGGTACAGAAAACTCAAAGGGTTGACCTACCATGATCATTGTGCTTGGAAAGGTCCTGCTCATCAATGTATAAATCGTGGTCGGCATCCAGCTCCCAGAATTTACAATAGATGACATAGAAATGTTCATATGAAAAATAATCTGTTGATTGGTTGATGTCTTCCTCCTCTAGCAAGGCTATATGCTAAACATAAAAACACAGAAGCACATTATAGGCTTTGATAAGAGTATTGCAGTCTCTCTCATGTGTGAGTTGCAACCTTAGCTGCTTGTCCACATATTCCGTTTAAACAGAGGACTCATAAGACTATACGTTTATTTCATTTGCTGGAAAACGTGGTCCAAATGGGACTTATGAAAAGAGAATAGAAAAAAAAAAAAAAAAAAAAAAAAAAAAAAAAAAACAGTGTGTACACCACAAATGCCTTCCAAAAACTGTAAACTGTAGTAGTTTGTGGAGCTCCACAAGAGATTTTCCTGCCCGTTTTCCTATGGAAGGCAACTGTTCATGTAAGGGTAGCCTAAATGACACACGTAATCAATTATCCCTTGAATATATTGGTCAGGCATTGTAGGAAATCCTGTAAGTATAGTTGGGGAGACAAAGCATTTGGTCTAACCTGTAGAAAGTTGCTCTTCCTGAGTTCTACACATGTAATGCGACCAGACCATGATCTATTTACGTTATAAAATATCCTTTGAACAACCTGTAAGAAAGAAAAAAAAGAAAAAAAAAGAAAAAAAAAAAAAAATTATTACAGTGGCTCTGCCGAGTTGGAGAAAGTTTCTCTTTTTGATGTGTGATTCCAGTGACAAAGAATCAGCCAAGAAAAGCCGATTTGGACAGGGCGTGGAGATAACATTTTTACATGAATAAAAAAAAAAAAGCTGATCATTGTAACCCTGTCATTGGTAAATGGTTTTTCTCAGCCCTCTAATACATTTGCATGAGAGAGAGCTTGTTCAGTTGAATCATACAAGATTTACTGGCCAGATCACCAGGTGACAAAGGAACATAGCCTAAAAAAGAAAAACTAATGCAGCAATCACATCTAAGAATTGGTAATTTTCAATATAAAAAATGTTTGCTTATGGGTTTAGTACTGCTTTAAGGCATTTTTCATAGTAAAAGTGTGAAAACGCAAGAATCTCTGTTTTTTTTATTGATGTGTTCAGCAGGGCATCTCCTACCTAACCACCTTTCATGGCTTATACCTTCTTCCCCACGCTTACACCATTTACCTCTGTCATTCCCTATTCCAGTGACAACGGCCCTCAAGACCACATGAAAGTAAGCATCTGTTCAACTGGGATACATTAAAGCAGAATGTGAACCTAAAACATTATTATTTTGCAGTTTATCAATTATTAGATGTGGTGGTTGCATTAGTTTTTTTTTTTTTTCTTTTAAGGCTTTTTTGCTTAATTTTCATCTGGTGATCCAGCCGTATGTTATTCTTCAATTTCCTTTAACAGACCAAGCTGTCCAGACACAGTAGCAGTTAGAAGGTTGAGATAAACCATTCAACACATGACAGGGGTGCCTACAGTGGTTCTAAGCAGACCTCTGTTCAAGGTGTTGTTTAATTAAAGTCTTTCTATGCAGCTTCATGCTCTGGAGATCACCCTGATCTTTGGAAGTAGGCTACAGTGCTGTCACTGAACCAGAATCCTTGATAAGTCAGTAAAGTGATCACCTTGGTTAACACTTTTAGGCCCCTTTCACATAAGCGGACCGATGCGGTCCGCATGTCCGTTTTTCAGGTGGACCAAATTGGTCCATCCATAGACTTCCATTGACCGGCACGGTGTCAAGGGACAATAGTCCGCAGACACCCGCCGGCTTGTGATCCGATCCTGTACGCCAAACGGATGGGGATTCGTTCCCATCCGTCCAGCAGACTGGATCAGATGAAAATCAGGTGGAAATGGACAGGCGGTCCATTTCCATCCGACTGTTCCACTGAAATCAGCAGGCAGTGTGTCCCCGCTCCGCAACATCAGAGTAGAAGAGGCCTGACATCTGCCTGCTCAGCGGGGATCAACAGAGAGATCCCCCGCTTAGTAGGCGGATCCACCTTGTCTGCAAGGGGCCTTACTCAACTATTATGCAATGGCTACAAGACAAGCCTGCAGCCACTAGTTTGTTTTTGGAGTTCCATGCCCACTCTAGTCAATGATGTTGAAGTTAATCCCGTGATTATAAATCCACCCAACCATCTACATGCAGCCCCCTTCTCCTGGTCCCTGGACTCCTCTGACTCCACGACTGCTGCATGTAGCTATATGATGGAGAGCAGGAGGAGGAGACGGAACTTCTGTCCTTGAAAATTTGGATGGTTCAGTGCTTCAGAATCCCAGTGGCAACAGCCAGGGTTCTTTATACATGACCAATGTCAAATTGCCTTGGTGTGCAGATTTGTCAAAATATCTACAAATTTTTGATATTTGAGTGGGCCTATGTTCTCCTTGTTCTCGCTTTAGTGGTTTTTGAGGTGTATTATTTAGGGGTGTGCAGCCCACTAATATTAGTGGTTATTTTGTTCAAAAATAGGGGATGTGGCAAATGCAATTTTATTGTATGTTGTATACATGATCTGTGTTGAATGTACTGACTGGATGCAGCGGAAGCATCAAGGGTTTAATAGACCTCTGTTTCCAAAAACAGTTCCTGACTCTACCTCTCTCCGATCACTTTGGGGGCTTTTTACTCCCTTTTGATAATAAAGGAAAAATAACTTCTGTGTACACACATACTTCTTTTATACAACAGGCATGTCATAGGTAGAAGATTCCTAGAGACATCAATTATTAATTTTATTTTTACATTAAACTAACGAGCTGAAGAGGTCTCTAAAGCATAAATACAAATTTTGAGCATCTACTTTTCTCCATTTTTGCAAGAACATGATTTTGAGCCTAGAAAAGAGGAATTATGACTTGCCTATTAATTTGTGAAGTATCGTACAGAACAGAGCCAGAATATTCATACATCATGGGATTATCGACATGTGCCTTTAGGTGATTGGACACTGAAAAAGCTTTAGAGAACAAACCCCCTAGGCACCTCCTCTATAACCCTACCCTGCTCCATAAATTCTCAGTTTTGTTACAAGCAATGCAGTGTTAACCAAAGAGTGAAAGAGAGGGTGGTCTGTGTCCTGTCCTCCAAGATATGGAATTTATAGGCATGTCAAAATTCCTCTCATCTTAACTGTACAGTACAACACATGCCCAAGCAATGAATAGTAAACGGTGGGCAGCAATGAGGCAAACACAGGACTGCCAACAGGCCCAGTAACAAGGATCAAAAGACTCAACGAGCCTCTGCGAGAACCTTACGGTCAGAAGCTGCATCAGCGGAAGACTGGCTGCCCACCTATACAATTTGCTCCTGATGCTTGGTGACAAAATGCCCATGAAACAACCAGCACCGTCACAACCACCAAAAACACCCAAAAAAACAATCAACCAGTCTGGTGGAATTAGTGTGTAGAAGTGCAGGAGAACATTTCAGTTAAAATGTACCATGTGAGATTGGACCATTGCACAATGGATCTTCTATCCATCGTACAATGGTCCAGAAAACAAGACAATGAGCCCATATAGATATGGTGATATATGGACAGAAATTTGAGTGCGGAGGTGGCAAAATATGCTAGTTTTTTTTTTACAACAAAAAAGGTAGGCATCTGCAACAAAGTTTGGTAAAATCCTCGCAATGTACACAGACCACCCAGAGGGGAATGTTTTATTTCTCTCAAAAAATTTGAATCATTTTAAGGCCCAACCGCCAAGGTAAGGAATTTTAAATTTGTTATTTGTACAATTTATAAGTATTGCACAGGAGGGTTTGTGGATGCATATGAAATTTTCATGATTTGATTTTATTAGGACTTCTTAGGACTCAACAATTTCTGCAACCTTGCATACTGTATAGCACACATTAGGGGGAGATTTACTAAAACTGGTGCACTCATATTCTGGTGCAGCTGTGCATGGTAGCCAATCACATCTAACTTCAGCTCGTTCAATTAAGCTTTAACAATAAAACCTGGAACCTGATTGGTTTCAATGCAGAGCTGCACCAAATTTTGCACCGTGCAGTATAATAGCTGTATATGCGTATGTTGGTGATTAATCATCTAAATAATACTGCTTTCCTGGGAATTCACACTGCTTATCAGTGAAAATCGCAGAGCAGCTGGACTGATTCAGCACTCCAGCCTCTCTGCGTTGCCAGCTGACTAGGAGCAGTGTTGTGTGTGATTTAGCCCACCGCACAGGTCCCCCCCTTTTTTTTGTTTTCTGTGAGCTTTATTTGAAGTGTACAAAACATACACGTCATTCACTGCAATCTTGTGCAGCGCAATGCGCTGAGCTGCCCGACATAGCAGTGCAATTCAGCTAGGCTGCATTACAGTGTGAATGGCACACATAGGAAACTATTGTTTCCAGTGAGTCCCTGCGGTGAGACTGTTTACCATGTGGTAAAATTCCGTCACCGCATATAGTGTGAATTTAAAAAAAAAAAAAATTATTAGCACATCATAGTGAGTGTTAACATTACTTCAGTGAGAGTATATGAACTGTGCAGTGGAACCTGACACTAGCAGCAGCTAATCACAGTTGATTTAAAAGGGAATCTGCCTTTGAGACCCTTTACCCCCCCCTGGTCACATTGGGTGCAATTTGGCATGCGATTTGCATGTCATGCGACTTGAAAATCGTATGCCAAGTCGCACCCTATTGTCCACTATTAGAGTGGTCATATTGGTGTGGTTCTGACTTGGTCGGAGCCACACCAATTTCTAAAGTAGTGCATGCACTACTTTTGTTTTTATTTGCATGGACATCTGTGTCAGATGTCTTGCAAATCGCAATGAAAATCGGCAGGTCACCCAATTTTGAAATTGTGTGACTTACAGTGAAATCGGCTTTGATGTGACCGGGGTCTTATAATCTTACGGTCCAACTGCCAAGGTGGGAAAGTCACAAATGTCATTTGCACAATTTATGAAGTGTTGCATAGGAGGGTTTTATGGACTCACATGGACTTTTCACAATTTGATTTTATTAAGGGCCAGTCCACACTACATGCATTTCAGTGTGCTTTTTTCCCCGCATCCAACACCCCTAGAAAGCACTGCTGCACTTTTCCTGCACAAAACTGTGCTGGAAAGTGGTAAAATGCATCAAAAATGCACATGTCCCTATTTAAAAAGCAGAAAAAGGAGGGGAAAAAAAATGAACTGGACCGCATAAAAAATGCACCGGAACGCGTCAAAACTGCAACTTTTTGGGACCGTACATAGCATAGCACACATTTGGTGTTACATATGGGTTTAGATTGATCATATTATGATCATAGTTATATATGGATAGGAGAAGCCTACTTGTTCCAGACAGACAAGATAGTTTGTTGGAGTTCTAGAATGAAATTGGGTGAATAGCACTGCTAGGAGGCTACCATTAACCTCAATGTGGGATGTCTCTTGGAATACTTTGGTCTGGTCCCCAGTGTTTCCCAACCCAAGTGAGGGGAAGGCAGATGAGCAGATTTGTTGAAATTGATCACCCACCTGAAGGCCTGGAGCATCTGAATGGTCTTGCACACATTTTCTGATAGCTACAAGGGAGACTAATCTTTACGAAGGCCATATAGACAGTTTGTGACTTAGATTCCCTGCGTTAGATGACCTGAGTCCTAGGACCTTTGTGAACACTCTGTGCAGTGGTTGTCTGACAATGCAAAGTGCAGAAAGTATTGATGAGGTGGGTGAATGGGACTTTGTAGATGGGCATCTTGGCCATGTATTCCCACAGATGCCATGTATTCCCTTAATCCCAAAGAGGCAATTGTTGACCTTAGGGATTCCATTCAACATTTTAGAATTTGAAGGAATGTGTTGAGAGATTTAAATCCAGTATATGATGAATATACCTGTTGGGCCTTGGTACTGTGAACAAGTTTGAATATAATTCTCTGAACCTGTCTTGTGGGGGTACTATGACTCCCTGGGACAAGAGGTAGTTCAGAGAGCATATCTGTCTGGGCAGTTTTTGACTGATCTAAAAGAAGAAAGTGTTGAGGTTTTAGAGTATTTGTACCCTTTGAAACTGATTGGGGCATGAGGGCGCCCCTTAATTTTGAAGAGGGCTTTGCAGAAGACTTGGTGGCTTTGGTTGGCCAAGTCTTGGGCTAAACATACAGAACAGATGCTCTGTGTTTTGAAGAGCTAGGGATTCCTGAAGAAGGTGGTTTTGGGACCTTCCCCACCTGTCACCTATGATAAACTGGTCAAGTTCCTCACAGATGTCTTCCCTGGAAACACATATGCGTGAGGAAATTTGTCTGTTCATGAACAGGGAATGTTTTGCTGGGTTTTGTAGTTCTTTGTCCTGAAAGGCACATGACGAGAGGGGGAGACTGGACCACAGTCCTAGACCTGTTTAGCACCCTGTGGCTAACTCAATGCATTGCAGAGTGCTAAGGTGAGAGCCTACCCAGGACCCAGTACCTGAAGCAAGATTACAGGCTGTACCCCACAGTGTGGCGTCTGCGCCCGGGTCCCAGGTTTTAACTGAGGTTGTTCTAATCCAAATACATTGCTTCTAAGAAAAATATTAAAAACTAGTTAAGCGAAGGGCGAGTTTCTCCATGAAGGAGGTCCATCGCCTTCAGACACTAGTACAAAATTTAGGACTCACACAGTAGGGTAGAATAATTGAGCGTATTCTTCAAAGCTTTGCCTGTGTCCAATCATCTGAAGGTACATGCTTATAATCCATGGTGTATGAATATACTACCTGTGTCCAGTATGATTAAGATATAGCTATTTACTAAGTCAGTGTCATCTTTTTAATTTAAACAGTTTTGAAATGACCCTAATGCAAACTTTTTTTTTCTGTGCTCCATGCGCTGAATAGCACTATGATCTACAGAAGGGGTCTCACAGATGGATAACTTGACAGGTTGTTCAGAAACCACTCAAAGTGGTTGTCCATCACATGATCATTAGTATGAATGGTGCTCACAATGCAGGTTTCTGCCTAGTTACTTTGTATCTCCTCCCTACTCACACACAGCAGCTTAAGCTGTGAAGGGAAAAAAAAAAAAAAGACGACGATTGTGGGTGAATTACAGCGACTAACCTCAGGGCACAGTACTGAAATCTGCCCAATATCTTGAAAAAAAACTCAAATGTCTATCCATACAAATTTGGGAATAGCAGTCAGGGGCCGCAGTACTTTTAGATCTCAAACTGCAGATATATAGCTAGAAATGCACTGCTATTTTCAGAAATTCAAGGTAAAAACCAACATTCTCAGTGGAATGCTTAGAGTCAGTTTAGATGTTCCCTGTGAGATGGCATATCTTCACTTTGAGTTTAGGTCTACTTTAATAACATATATCAGGAAATAAGCAAGTAGAACAAGTTTAGAAGAGAGGAAATTGTTACTTACTGTGGTTATGTAGCGGGAATGAAATTCAGAGGCCTCTCGCAAAAAAGTTAAATGTGGGTGAGTGTTCACCACATCCTGTACCATAGAAAAGCAATATAACATTAACAGTCTGAAGACAAATAGTAAATAATTCTTTAAATACTGTATAACTATGCATTTAGATTAGCTATAACATATTCCACAATAATATTCGCTCGCTTTGAATTTTATTTGTACGTCTTTAAATAGAGCGAAATTTTATTGTTTTATGGCTTAGGAAATTTACAAGGATACAGGATCATCACACTGGTACTATACAGTAAACGAAAATCTGGTAATAGGAGCTGAAATCCACAGCATACATAACTAGGAAATTCAAAACTTACTTGTAAAAATGTAATAAAGTCTTCTTGTTCCAAATAGCTGCAGCTAGGCTTGGCAAGAAGCTGAATAAACTTTGCAGCATCATCGTGGCAAGTGTGCAAGACTCTAAAGAATACAGTAAAAAAAACATCATAAGGGACACAAGATACACTTAACCAGTTTCTTCAGGATTGTGCTTTATTTTCCCAATGTTAACTTTTGTGGGGTTTGTTTGTTGTTTTATTTAATTTTAGTGCTTTGCACCCAAGAAAAGATTCTCTAAAATGTAAAAATCACACAGGCTGCAACTGAGGTGCACAGTTGCAACACTTCATCATAATGGCTTTGTGGAAGTGTGCGCAAACACAAAACTATTGTTAGGAAATCATATCTCTGTCTTGGCAATAAAAAGGAAACCGGTGTCGACCTAATTGTTCCCATACAAAACTAGTATTGTTTTGGGTGGAGTTGACTTTTATAGGTCAATGTAGATGAAAATGGTTATGAAACTCAAATAATATATTATGCAGTACCCCCAACAGGGGTGTGTCGCTGTCACATGTGGCCTGCATGCAGTCACTCTGTACCAAGTCTGGCCAACATGTCTGCCCTTAATATGATGCAGTACTGGACTCTGGCAGGCTGGATACTATTCACCGAGTCTAACCAAGTAATATGCTTTGTTCTATGTGATCTCTATGTCAAAAACTTCTAAAATAGTGGTATGCGTTTAAGGTGATCTCACAGTGTGATAAAGGGATGAGACAGCCTTCAAATGTAATGACATAGTAATTACAATGGGACCTTTGTGGACACTCAGACTTGTGTGCTGTGTTTTTTGATGTTCTCTCTCCCAACTTCATGGAGCAACACTTTTAGTAAAAGGAATTCTGATTTGATGAAATGAGTCAGCTCTTTGCATTGATTTTTGAATAAAGATGACCAATAAATAGCACTTACTTTCTCCACATAGCCACAAACTTGTGCACAGACACATATCCAGTCCTCTCACCACCAGCTCCATAAAATAATGGAGCTTTCCAGTAAAGTGGACAGTCGCAAGCCTAAAACAAAAACAAAGAATAAAAAAGTCTGTCTATTATAAAGCATTACTGTATATTTACTAACCATATTACATTTAGACTTGTCCCATTAACCTCTGAAAAATGCCAATATGGGTTTCATGTATTGAGAGAAAATTCCTGTTGCTAATAAAATTTCATGCAGCTTTCTTCCCCTCAGTATCTTCAGCTGTGCTTTAAAACAATCTTCCTCTGTAGTTACTTATTTAGCTCAGTGCAGAGCAGAAATCCCATTTCCAAACAGAGTAGCTCTGTACCCGTGTACAGCATTTCTTGTCACCTTGATAATTGGGTGCAGTGCCCCTGAAATGTTGGGTGTATTTGTTTTACTGATATGGGACTTAAAGAAAAAATTCCCATCTGGATCAACATTTGCCATGTTGGCCATTTTCTTCTATTGGATTTATAGGGTACCCAGTAAACGTGTTGCCCTGAGTTCTTAAGGACTAGAAGGGGTGCAAGCACTTGTCTGAATACTAAGGGTTCAGAGGATTGGCCAAATGGCAGTGTAACACTATTGGAAGTGCTGGTCCCCTACTGTGAAAAGCAGAAAGTGCTAATGAGGTGGGTAAATAGGAATATGGAAGTAGGCATCTTCAATGTTTACTAATGTCAAGTAGCCACCTTGTCTCAAAGAAGCAATAACTGACCTTATAGATTCCATGCAAAACTTGTGAAACTTGTGGGTTTTGGTACTGTGAACATTGCATAGAATTATTTGAACCTGTCTTCCAGTGGAACCGGAACAACTTGGGACAAGAGATGGTTCAGGGAAGTTTGTAAATCTGAATGTCCTTGGTCGGATTTTTTTTTTGGTTGGTCTGAGAGAAGAAAAATGATGAGGGGGTAGAGTTTGCAACTCTTATTCTGCACAATTTTGAAACTCATTGGTCTAAAATGTCTATGACCCAGAAGTAAAAACAGTAACAGATGTCCCCTCACTCTAGGGAGTGAGGTCGCCCCTTCATTGTGGAGAGGGCTTTGTGGCAGATTTGGGAGGTTTAGTGTTCCAAATCTTGTGTGAAAAGGGCTGAAATTTGGCTTTGAAGATGAAGCCTGAGGAGAGTGATGTGGAGCTCTGCATTTTAAAGGCAACAGAAGCTACTGTAGAGGGGAATTTTGAAGCCTTGCATTGAGGGAGAAGAACCTTTCCACCAGGGGCATCTTTTCGGAGTTTCTCAAGTGCCTTACCAAAGTGATATCCTGCTTCAAAGGGCATACAAGTGAGGCTTCCTTTACAGGCTGCTTCAGCTGACCAGGCTTTCAGCCATAAGATTCTGTGCACATGGACAGAAAGGAGTTTGTGTCATGACATGTTCTAGGACTTCCAAACAGAAAAGGAAAGCAGAAGGCGGTATTTGTAAATGTTCTTCCAGAGTTCAGACCTGAAAAGACAGGATCCTGTTGAGGATTCATTGCTCTAGTCCAATTAGCTGCGGTTTGACAGAATTTGTAGCAATAGCTGGCTGCAGGGCTGGACCTATAAGGGTAAAGAGCTTTTAAAAAACTCCTAAAATTTCCTGTCTGCAGAATTGTTGAATATAGGAACATCTTCTATAGGAACAGTAAGGTGGCCGTTTAAGATTGAGACCGTGAAATCTACTACTGGAACAGTCCACTCTGTAGTGGACTGCTAGATATAGCTCTGCAATGATTTTCAGAACAGTGAAAACCTTTTCAGGAGAAACTCAATTTTCAAAAATTGCCCATTTTATTTGCTCACAAATGGGAAATGTCTATTTAGACTTTGCAGGTCTCTTAGATATAAAATTGTCTTGCCTATCCACAATACTGGTTCCTGTATAGGGTCCAGGCTTCGCCCATCATGGTTGGAATACCCCCAAAGGGGGAGAAAATTATGAAATAAAGACATTTATGATGAATATTCATCAACCTTAGCAAATTACACTTGTTTCTGTTATTTACAGTGGTTCTAAAGGCAGAAGGCTTGCTATTGGGGGCATTCAGCTGGGGAGAGGAGCCAGGACCACCAGTGGGGTTAAAGGATCGGGGCTGCTCTGTGCAAAACCATTGCACAGAGCAGGTAAGAATAAAATGTTTGTCATTTAAAAAAAAACCTTTTAATATCACTTTAACATAAATATAATAGAATACAAATTATTCAAACTCAAGACAGAACATAGGGAAAAACAGCTGGCTGGCCTTGAGGCCAAAATAAGCCATTACCAAATGCCCATACATAGAATTGTGGAATTGACATTTGCAATACAATTCCAGGATAGAAGGCAGGCCTGTATGGGTGCTGAGAAATCCTCCTATTAATCACATGAGCTGTATTTATCTTCCACACTATCTTGGCAATATGTCCCACTAGGGAATTCTGGCATGGCCTGCAGAACTATTAAACAAAGTACAAGACGATGACAAAAGCAAAGTACGTTCCTTCCATTTGTTTTTCAGCGGAACTCTTTCAAATACACCAACATACAAACCATAATGCATGCTACCAGTGTTGAGTCTATCATTCCATTTTAAGAAAAGGTTTGTTGAAATACCTATCCTGCAGCTGCTTGCCTCTCCCTTTGAAAAACACTAGTGCCTGGCTGTCACATATACCCGACCCTCTGGATTGAATGCTTACAGAGTTACTTACAATAACTATGCAAACCAGAAGTCCTGATTTGTTTTTCTGCATGCATGTTCCAGCTCACAATTGTTGAAATTGGGGATAGGCAAGAAGCTAGCATTTTAGAATGAATCCACAGTGACATATTTTCTTTGGAAGAGGTTTCTTTTTATTAAACTGCCTCTTCAGTAAAAGTCAACAGGCTGTGTAGTACTGCTATGCGCAGGGAGGGAGACAGAGCAGGCCAGTATTCACTATCATGGCACATTGTACTGCACTGCTGAGATAGCGGACTTCCAGAGTGATGGATTACTGCCCTTTCCAGGTCAAACAGAGAATATTTGAGGAATATAAAGGAACAAAGTTACCATTGTATCCCAATAGGGGCCACGGCACTGTGGGGATTTTTAAGTGCCATAATATGACACAACAGTGAAAACATTTTTTTATCTTTTTATTGTTTCCATGTTAAAAATCAATATGAAAGGTTTTTGCGATCATTTATAATTACAGCACCAAAATGTACAATAGGGCATGCTTATAATGTGTGGATCGACACCCAGGAATGAGCTTCTTCTGGATCCACTTGATTTTAAGATATGAAAATATATGAACAGCCAGTGGTTCTGTTACAGATTTTAATGGGGAACCCCACACCAAAAATTAAAAATAATTGCATGGGGTTGCCCTCATAATCCATACTGGACCTTTATCCGAGCATGCACCCGACAGGTCAGGAAAAGGCCCCCTGCTGAAAAATACAAGGTCTCTCAACATTGTGGGGGGGGGGTTGATGAGGACAAGGGCCTCTTCCCCACAACCCTTAAAAGGTGTTTGTGGGGGTCTGCGGGTGGGGGAAGCCCCCTTTTAAAATAAAAAAAAAAAAAAAAAAAAACGTACGGAGAAGAAAGCGGAGGAAGAGGAAGCAGGAAGAGGAAGGTGGAAGAAGAACTCCACACCCAATGCCCTCGCTGTCTGACTGTTCCTAAATAACTAAGGGGCGGGGCTGCCCGATGACATCACCAGATGACCCAGCCTCTCATGATGTCATTAACCCAGCATGCCCCTAGTCGATTACGTCACAAGGAGCGGGGTAACCCGGTGACGTCAGCTTAGCTTATTTAAGAACTGTCAGAATGCGGGATAGGTGGTCTTATTTTTCCTTCGGATTGGTCGCGTTCATCACGATTGACGTTGGATCTATTTTGGGGGACAGTTTTTTTTTTTAGTTTCTTTTAATAAAAAGAACTTAGTAAAAACTCGTGTTTTGACCTTTTTTTGTGAATGAATTGTAATTACTATGTACCCATACTCATCAACAGAAAGGGGGCGTGATCTGGGGGTTTCCAGATCCCGATAAGTCACTCCCCGCACCCCCATAACTATTGGCAAGAGTTCTGGGTAAGAGGTCCTTGTTCATGGGGGGGCGCACTCCCCCCCCCCCCCCCCCCCCCCCCCCCCCCCCATGTTGAGGGCCTGTGGCCTGGTATTTTCTGGAGTGTTCAAAAAAAAAAAAAAAAAAAGGGGGGGGGGGGGGGCGCTACTTCATTCCCCCCTTTCCTGAACTTTTAGGCTGCAAGCTCAGATAGGGGTCAGGTGTGGCTGAAGGGGACCACAGCGCATTTTTAATGTCTGATCCAAATCACATCAATATAGATGAGGACCCGATTTGGAGGGGACTTCCATTAAAGTCTATGGGCACAAGCCGGATTGAAGTAGGACAGGAACCTTTTCTAAAGTTGGAGCGACTTCAGTAGTGCTAATTAAGACAGCTCTCATTGACTAACATGGGATTGCACGTCATGCCACTTAGGGTTGCACAAGTTTGATACCAAGTTGAGGTAGTGTGAACTGAGCCTCAATCATAACAAAATGGCACAATCATAAAACAAAACATGGCAACAAGCACAACTAAGTGACCCCTGTTCAAAAGTCTGTATACCCTTAATGTGTATTGTCCCCTTTAGCATCAATGAGAGCGCACAGTCGTTTGTAATATACGTCTATGAAGCCCCAAATCCTTGCAGGTGGAATAGCTGGCCATTGGTCTTGGCAAAATGCCTCTAGGTCATGCAGCCTTTGGTCGGCTTGCACAAACCAAGCACATGTTTGAGATCTCCAAAGAGTGGCTTGATAATATAAAAGTTTTTTCCTTAATAGTTGAACATTAAAAAAAGCAAGAAAAACAGCAAATGTGAGAATATAGTGTAGTGTTTTCCACAAGACAAAGGCACAATTCAGAACCTTGCATTTAAAACTCTGAAGTACAGTTGCAAGAAAAAGTATGTGAACCCCTTGGGATTACGTGGAGTTTTGCATGATTTGGGCATAAAATGTGCTCTGAACGTCATCTAAGTCACAACAACAGAAGAACACAGTCTGCTGAACATAATACTACACAAACATTAGATGTTGCCATGGTTTAATTGCACATAACATGTAAACATTCACAGTGCAGGGAGGAAAAAGTATGTGAACCTTTGGACTTAATAACTGGTTGACCCTCCTTTGGCAGCAATAACCTCAAACGTTTCCTGTAGTTGCAGATCAGACCTGCACAACGATCTGGAGTAATTTTGGACCACTCCTCTTCACAAAACTGTTTCAGTGTAGCAATATTCTTAGGATGTCTGAAATGCTGTGGCATGACCTTAAGAGTCATGCGATTCACATTTCAATCGGGTTGAGATCAGGACTTTGACTGGGCCACTCCAGAAGGCGTATTCTGTGCTGTTGCAGCCATTGTTTTGTTGAATTACTTGTATGCTTTGGGTCATTGTCCTGTTGCATCACCCATCCTCCGCAGAGCTTCAGTTAGCGGACAGATGGTTGTACGTTTTCCTGCAAAATGTCTTCATAAACTCTGGAATTCATTTTCCCATCAATGACAACAATCCATCCAGGCCCTGAGGCAGCAAAGTAGCCCCAAATCATGATGCTCCCTCCGCCATGTTTTACAGTGGGGATGAGGTTTTGATGTTGGTGTGCTGTGCCTTTTTTCCTCCACACATAGTGTTGTGTGTTCTTCCCAAACAACTCAATCTTGGTTTCATCTGTCCACAGTATATTTTGCCAGTAGTGCTGTGGAACATCCAGGTGCTCTTTTGCAAACTTCAAACGTGCTGCAATATTCTTTTTGGACAGCAATGGCTTCCTCCGTGGTGTCCTCCCATGTACTCCATTCTTGTTTAATGTTTTCCTTATCGTAGAGGTGTCAACAAAAATGTTAGCATGTGCCAGAGATTTCTGTAGGTCTTTAGCTGACACTCTGGGATTCTTCTTTACCTCATGCAGCATTCTGCGCTGGGCTCTTGCAGTCATTTTTACAGGACGACCATGCCTAGGGAGAGTAGCAACAGTGCTAAACTTTCTCCATTTGTAGACAGTCTGTCTTACCGTGGACACATGAACATCAAGGCTTTTGGAGATACTTTTGTAACCCTTTCCAGCTTCATGCAAGTCAACAATTCTTGATCGTAGGTCTTCTGAGAGTTCTTTTCTGCGAGGCATGGTTCACATCAGACCGTGCTTCTTGAAACCAGTAAACCCAAAACAGGTGTGTGTTTAAGGGCAGGACAGCTGTCAGCAACACATCCAATATCATCACACTGATTGGAGTCAATGTTAGCTCACTCCTGGCTCCAATTAGCTCTGGGAGAAGTCATTAAGCTAGGGCCTCACATACTTTTTCCTCCCTGCACTGTGAATGTTTACATGTTATGTGCAATTAAACCATGGCAACATCTAATGTTTGTGTAGTATTATGTTCAGCAGACTGTGTTCTTCTATTGTTGTGACTTAGATGATGTTCAGAGCACATTTTATGCCCAATTCATGCAAAACTCCACGTAATCCCAAGGGGTTCACATACTTTTTCTTGCAACTGTATATGGAAAATACCTTAGCTACTTTTCCCATGTCTTCAAGGGTTGCCCTCTCATTCGGAAAAGCTGAAAATGTTTTCTCAATTTTCAAAATTATGGCATCTATATTGACATTCCCTTTTGGACATCCTTTAGGAAAGTAAAATTTTGGAATGTTCTGGCTCAAGACAGGTGTTCTTGGCTCTTCCCTACTTGGCGGTACCTAAAACAAAGATAAATAGATTAATTACCTTTTGGTCTTGATTTTGCAAAGCTGCTGGCACACTAATATATAGATAAAGCATGTTCATCTTAAAACGAGCACCAACATCTGCATTACTATTACTGTACAATTAACAAGTTAAAAAACACAGACCTAAGTTAAACAGATCCGGTCATCACATTTTTGGGCACATATGGAAAAGCAGCTCTTTACAGTAGCTCTGTTCTGTGCTTAAAAAAGTTCTTCCCAAGAAGCGTTAGCCACCCCATTATTCCTACAGAGAATCAACACTTGCTGGAACAGATAATCCGTTTGGAATGAAGTTATTGCACCATAAATGAGGGCTACTGTAAAAGCATTATAAATAATTTGTCAGGGAAAACCAGTAACATTTATTTCAGCTGTATATCTAGCTGTTTGAACTGCAGACTGATATAAAAAAAAACACAACTATCATATTTTCAGCATGAGAGAGTCCAAGGATGACCTTATAAATGTACTGCTGCTCCTTCATTGGTTAACAGGCAGGGAAGGGTCCTTGACCAGGCATCTGGCAGTGCTGTTTGGCTGGGTTGTATGCAAACATGTTATACTTACTTGATCTGTGCAGTGGTTTTACACATAGCAGTTCCAACCCTCCTCTTCTCAGGACCCCTGCCAGCGCTCCTGGTCCCTACCTTCTGCCAAGTGCTCCCAGAACAAGCAACAATGGCTCTTGCTACTGTCTCAGCCAGTGAGGAGGGAGATAACTGGGAGAGTCGAGGCACTCATGCACATCGCTACATCGCAATGGGATTCAGGTAAGTATGGGGGGGCTCCTGCACACAGTGTTTTTACCTTCATGCATAGAATGCTTTTAAAAGCACTTTAAGATTGGTCTAAGAGCATTACAAATCATTTGGTCGGCAAAACCTTAAAACGAACTGTAGTCTTTTTTAAACAACATACAGTGGATATAAAAAGTCTACACACCCCTGTTAACCTGTCAGGTGTCTATGATATAAAAAAAAAAAAAAAAAAAAAAAAAAAAGAAAAATCATTTCAGAACTTTTTCCACCTTTAATGCTTTAATGTAACTTATAAACTATACATCTCAGTTGAACAACAAACTGAAATATTTTAGGTGGAGGGAAGTAAAACTAAATAAAAAAAACTAAAATAACATGGTTGCATAAGTGTCCACACCCATAAAAACTAAATACTTTGTTGAAGCACCTTTTGATTTTATTCCAGCACTCAGTCTTTTTGGGTATGAATCCATCAGCATGGCACATCTTGACTTTGCAATATTTGCCAACTCTTGCAAAAACACTCCAAATCTATCAGATTGTGAGGACATCTCCTGTGCAAAGCCCTCTTCAGATCACCACACAGATTTTCGATCGGATTCAGGTCTGGGCTCTGGCTGGGCCATTCCAAAATGTTAATCTTCTGGTGAAGCCATTCCTTGTTGATTTGGATGTATGCCCTGGGTCGTTGTCATGCTGAAAGATAAGTTCCTTTTCATGTTCAGCTTTCTAGCAAAAGCCTGAAGGTTTTCTGCCAATATTGACTGGTATCTGGAACTTCCAGCTGAAGAAAAACACCCCACCATGCTTCACTGTTGGTATGATGTTCTTTTGGTGATGTGCAGTGTTGTTTTTACAGCAAACATATCTTTTGGAATTATGGCCAAAACGTTCAACCTTGGTTTCATCAGATTAGAACACATTTACCCACATATGCTTTTGGAAGACTTCAAATGTGTTTTTACAAAATTTAGCCAGGCTTGGATGTTTTTCTTCATAAGAAAAGGCTTCACTCTTGCCTCTCTACCCCATAGCCCAGACATATGAAGAATATGGGAGATTGTTGTCACATGTAGCACACAGCCAGTATTTGCCAGATATTCCTGCAGCTCCTTTAATGTTGCTGTAGGCCTCTTGGCAGCCTCCCAGACCAGCTTTCTTCTCGTCTTTGCATCAATTTTGGAGGGACATCCAGGTCTTGGTAATGTCACGGTTGGATCACGTTTTCTCCACTTGATTATGACGGTCTTCACGGTGTTCCATGGTATATCTAATGCCTTGGAAATTCTTTTGTACCCTCCTCCCGACTGATTCCTTTTAACAATGAGAGCCCTCTGATGCTTTGGAAGCTCTCTGCGGACCATGGCTTTTACTTTAAGATGTCAGGAAAGACCTACTAGAACAGCTGAACTTTATTTGTGGTTAATCAGAGGCACTGAATGATGGCAGGTATGTACTCCTATTTAACATGATATTGAATGTGATGGCTTAATTCTGAACACAGCTACATCCCCAGTTATAAAGAGGGGTGTGCACACTTATGCAACCACATCATTTTAGTTTTTTATGTTTACTTCCCCCCCCTAAAAGATTTCAGTTTGTTTTTTAATTGAGTTGTACAGTTTTTAGGTTACATTAAAAAGGAGTAAAAAGCTCTGAAATGATTTATCTTAGTCTCATTTTGGGTACCCTGGCATCGTTCCTGGCTTACTATAATAAGGGCACTCATGTGGGCTCGATCCCGAGCCGTGCTGCCTGCGACAGACAGGGCGGCTTGGACCCACACAGAAAAAAGAAATGTGAAAAGAGATTCACAAAAAAGCAATTACATTATGGACAGAATGCGATACTCAAAGTAATTCAAAAATGATGCTTTATTACACAATACACATGTGGACATATAAGGTAAATACCTCAGTTCACCATCACCTCAGTATGAGATAATACATCAAAACTGACCTGAAATCACTTAAAAACAGACGTCATTACCGGTCAAAGAAATAAAGTGCTGCAGATATAGTGACAATTGGTGTAATACGTACGTTTAGCAATACGTGTTACTTATAAGCCCCTTATTTTTCTAATTTTACTGGCTTGGACCCACCCCTTGCTGCCTCAGCAAAGCCTGTGAAAGCAGGACAAGAAGACAAAGCCACTACAGACGGGCACAGCGCTGAATCAAGTGAGGACTCAGGAAGGTATGGGGGGGGGGGGGGGGGGGAAGGTTTGTTGGGGGTGTTTGCTGGTGATACTGCAGTGTTACCTAAAATTTTTTATCTTAATGCTAATTACCTAATTTAGGCTTTAGAACCGCTTAAATATAAATCTGAAACACACGTGTTAAACTGTTTGCCTGGCATTCAACTTTCAGCTGTTCAACAAAACTCTTCCTAAGTGGCCCGTCACACCCTGGAGGGTGCTGCAGTGAGTTACTGCACGCACATTATTGCACTTGTGTCAAGGCAGCCCATTCATTTTATATGGGCTGGAAACATTCCTCAGCTAAGTGTATCAACACATGGTAGTGTGTTATCATGCGTTGCTGTGTTCAGCCATTCAGAAAAAAAATGGTACTGCAATGCACTAACATGGGCATGCTGCGGTACCGTAGATTACTACAATGTAAGGATCCATGAGATTTTTGTAGCAGCTAAATAAATCCTAGAACAATCTCTTGATTATACAAAGATCTTCAGCATACTGAGGTTTTATCAAGTCTACATAAGGTGATTAACATCTCTATATCAGGAGTCAGCAAAACTTTTCCACAGCAAGTGCCAGTTTTACAAGCACTAGACAATCATGTAACTAAACAGTGGACTACAAGATCCTCGCCAAAGTCATGGCGAACAGGCTGAAGGCTGTCATCGGACAGATCATCCACCCGGATCAGACTTGCGGCATTCCTGGCCGCAGGATTGCAGACAGCCTTGCGCTTGTCCGGGACACGGTCCAATACATCAAGGACCGCCGTGTGCACGCGGCCCTGGTCAGTCTTGATCAGGAAAAGGCCTTTGACCGTGTCTCTCACGGGTTTATGTGCAGAGCCCTGCGCAGGTTTGGTCTCGGGGACATGTTTTGTTTGTACGTGGATATTATGTATAATGACATTTGCAGTTCCGTGCAGGTGAACGGCTGGAAAACTGACCCCTTCCCGGTCCTCTCCGGGGTCAGACAAGGCTGCCCTCTTTCACCTCTGCTTTTTGTTTGCTGTATAGAGCTCTTCGCCGAATGCATCAGACGGAATCCAGAGATCGGGGGAATCACGGCACCGGGACCAGACAGACGGGAAGTGAAGTGCTCACTCTACATGGACGACGTGACGGTGTTCTGTGCCAACCAGCGCTCCATCGACCTGCTCGTCCAGACCTGCGAGGCCTTCGGCCAAGCTTCGGGGGCAAAGGTCAACTGCGGGAAGTCGGAAGTCATGCTCTTCGGAAAGTGGTTCCTGCCTTCTTCTGCATCCATGCCCTTTGGCATCAAGACAGACTTCATGAAAATTTTGGGAGTTTGGTTTGGTGCCGAGGGCGCAGCCCTGAAGTCTTGGGAGGAGAGACTGGCTAAAATGCCTCAGAGACCTCACCATCGAAGGGAAGACACTGGTACTCTGCAGCGAGATTCTCCCTGTGTTGCAGTACCTCGCCCAGGCCTGGCCCCCTCGGGTCAACACCTGTAAGGCCATCACCAGGGCGGTGTTTCACTTCATCTGGGGCTTCAAGATGGACAGAGTGAAGCGGGCAGTCATGTTCAAGGAACCCCTCAAGGGCGGTAAGGGCGTGCCCGACATCGCCACCCAACTGAGGGTGTTCTTTGCTTGCAACTGCATCCGCAGAACTTTGCCCAAAAGGATTATGGACTCTGGCGGGAACGCAATGTCTCGCTTCTTCCTGTTGCCTCTCTGGAGGTCCCTCGGGTGGGACATTTGGGATAGTTCCATCCCCTACAACTGGGACACTCCTTGGTACTACTTGGATATCTTCAAGTTCATCAGGGAGCAGGGGCTGCAGGGAGTCAAGCCTGACTTGTGGAAACCAAAGACCATTTACAAGCTCATCCGAGCAAGCGACATTTTGGAGTCGGTTCCAGGCCTGCCTTCAGACACCTGCAAGGTGGTCTGGAGGAATGTTTCTTCCAACATTCTCACCAACAGGCACAAAGACCTGGCATGGATGGCAATCCAAGGGGGGTTGCCTCTCAGGACATTTATGCATGCCAGGAACCTGAGCAGATACAGACACTGCCCCTTCTGCATCATCCATGAGGAAACGTCTCACCACGTTTTCTGGGAG